AGTTCAACTGATGTCCAAGAGTATGTCCAAAGAAAAGGATAAGGGTAACTCCCTCAAAATAATTCTATGTTATTATTTTTTCTCCTCTAAAAGCTTTATGATCTCAAATTATTATTTTCAGGTTCAACTACCAAAAGGAACACGAAAAAGATAAGAGGATGTGATGGGCAGTAGTTTGAGTAGCAGTTTTTTGTGAATAATTTTCAGCCTTGGCCCTTCATGTTAATGATTTAATATTGTTATGAGTTTATGATGGGCAGTAGCTTGGGCAGTAGTTGTTTTTGTTGAAATTGCAGTTTTTTGTTTGAAAATTCTTTGGCCTGCTGGGACTGGCTGCTGACCCGGAGAAAAAGTTCAGAATTTAGCTTGCAGAGATCAAACATGCCAGGCTTGCAATGGTTGCCTTCTTCGGATTTTCTGTTCAAGCTGCCGCTACAGGTAAAGGCCCACTCAACACTTGGCTGCTGACAAGGTATGTTGTATGCATTGACCTTTGTAAGCTGATCAATCACTTAGTTTATTAGGTTTTGGAAATTATTATAACTATTATTATATGTACTTTCTTGCATTGTTTATCTCTTGGGTGCACTGATGAAATTTTCTTATATGAGTTTACTCAAATGGGGTGCTAGCATATGCAGGGACATTGGCTACATATTTCAGCATTTGTTGGTAAGTCTTTTCCAAAAGTATAAGTACTAGTTGAGGATCTTGTATTTACTTTTGATGACTCAAAAAGTTCAAACTTTGTGCTCATTGGTTGATGAGCACGGGAATATGAGCCCCGCGCATTTCAGTTGCTCGAGGGTTGTAGGCTAGGCTTTTAAGGAATTAGGATCGACACACTTCTTTCTTGTTAGTCTTTTAGGTAGCTTCTTCACTTGGATTTAATTTCTTTTTTTGTACGTCTTTTAGGAAGCTTCTTCACTTGGATTGATTCCTCTGGCTTATCTTAAGGGCAGCTGAAATGTTGTTGATGTGAATTTGCATGTTATGTGATATCACCTACAACATGGCTTGGTGTGCATTCTTTCTCTGTTGATGTGAAGAATATGTTTCATATAATTTTGACGTGGTACATCATTCCTTTCATGAAAAATGTCCTATCTACTAATATCCCAAGAACGTAAATCTCTTAATGGCATTGCACATGAATATTAGCATTTAATTTGTATTGTTTTGACTAATAAAATATGTATGTAAAGGATTTTGGTGCAGAAGCCCACACCAGAATTGCAACCTAATGAGAAGAAGAGAGTAGTGATTGGAACCTTAGCCATTTACGATTATGAGGGCAGTTGTCAAGCAATTAATCAAGGAAAGTGGTTAATAGATGCTTCAAGTTCCTGGAGGCGTCTTTCCTAGATGTACATTGAATCCGAACTAATTGATTGCACTATATTTGAAGTTTTTATGTGTAGCTCTAATTTTTGTTATTGTTACACTTAAATCAAGGGTTAGGTCATGTTCTATATTTTCTATTTTCGAAGGGGTTTTGGTTTGGTCCCCCTCTTCTGTATTATATTTTTTCATTCAATAAACTTTAAAATTTCAACACAAAAAACTATGATAACTTTATTGTCTTTTATTGTGATTCTATGATTTGATATTATATCTTGAATTGTCACTATAAGTTATTTTTTGTAGACAATATGTGATTTCGTCATTTATTGTCTTAAGTATAAATGACGAAAATCATACAAAAGTGACAAAAAATCAACTTTAAAATGACGCATTAGGCGTCACTAAAGGTGATCAATAATGGTTACGGTAAAGTAAAGTGTCACGAAAATAACTATATTGTTGACAAAATTATGATTTCGTCATTTATTGTCTCAAGTATAGATGACGAAACTTATACATAAGTGACAAAAAAATCAACTTAAAAGTGACGTATTAGGCGTCACTAAAGGTGATCAACAATGGTTACAAGAAACTAAAGCGTCATAAAAATTAACTATATAGTGATGAATTCAAAAATCGTCATATATAACCTTTTGCCACGGAGCTACGATGACGATCACTGTGACGCTCCTAATTCGTCACAAAAAACATTTAATGACGAAAAATGAACCTTATATGACGAATTTTCTCGTCATATTTTGTCGAAATTCTTGTAGTGAATGATATTAGGATTAGTTAGGATTAATGCTTAACAATGGACAAATAAATTTTACTCCGTATATTTTAACTAGTTCGGTTTGTTCGGTTTGGTTCTGTTTTGAAGGATAAAAACCAAAACTGAACCAAACAACTACGGTTCGGTTCGGTTTTTTACATTCGGTTTCGGTTTGTTAGCGGTTCGGTTTTATTTGGCTACGGTTCGGTATGATTTGATTCGGTTTTCGGTTTTCGATTTTTCTGACCCAGCCCTAATTGATTTATTCCAGTAAACTTTTCCTTTATAACTACAAGATTAACTTTTTTCACAGACAAGATTAAAACTACACTTTTTAGCATTAATTAATGAAGAGGGAAATTAATTACTTAAAGATTAACTAACTCGAAGAACTGATGTAATCGCACAAAGTTAATCTTGACCCCTAATAAAATTACAAGAGCAAAACTAAAGCTTGCAACTTACGTAGTATTTGTTAGCATGTTAATAATTTTAACGACGACTCGTAGGCCGTAGCTGCTAGCTACAAATTAAAAGCAAATAAAATTACTAATAAGATGCATGGCCGGGTGGCAACTGTATGGCAAGTCAATTCATTCTAACTATAAATTATAGCTCAACAATGAAAGAAAATAAAGGTCCTTAAATTAAAGTATGATTACTTAATTAGGTGTTTTGAAAAAACTGTCTTTACGAAAATTGTGAAATGTGGATTAGAAGTCAAGAAAGCACCCAAATCATCAATTTAAAAGTTTTCCATAGAGCTTAGAGGAGATTAGATAAATCAAACACTAGGTACTCATAAAAGTTTGAAGATTTGAAGGTTTGTTGAGGAGATTTAGATAACAATGAACTCATAAAAAACATGGACTCCCTCCGATCCTTAATGAAGTTTACACTTTGACTTCACACATATTAAGGAAATAAATTTGACTTTACTGTAGAGTACACTGTTTGACAATGTTTGACACTGTTTGACACTGTTTGTCGTAGACTTGTTTGCCAAATAAGATAAATAAAGAAGTGTAAAGTTTAATATGAGATGACCCAAAAAAGAAAGTGTAAAGTTAATTAAGAACCGGATGGAGTAATACTTAATAGAAAGAAAACCGACCGTAAATTATATGGTACAACTGCATGAGAAGCGGGTTATTTTAGTTTATACTTAAAAAGTATATAGCTTAAATTATGAAATGAGTATTATTATTAAATTATAAGATTAGCACAATAAATATTTTTGATGACAATACAATGATAATATATTTAAATGAATATGTTAATTTGTAGCATATATATCACATGTAGATCATAATACTCTATTTTGCACACTTCTATACTCAATTGTGCTACCAAAACAATGATTTAATATTAATGTTCATTTCTTTTAGCGATATACTCATTAGATAAAATATGCGGTTGTGCGGTGAGATCGTGCAGCCGAGTGTACTCAAAACCGACTACAAACCTAAATTGGCCGCTCAGGATCAAAATGTAACAACTACGTTAGACCCCCATGACGATTTAAGTTGATAATGTTAGAGGAAGTATCAAAACCGGATTACAATTAAACCATTTTGACCCGTGATTGGGTCAACAATAATTATAAAATGTCATACTATAACATTGTTCCGCGCATGAAAGGACCAATTACTTTTCAATGGCCATCACAATTCATATTTAATCTCCAATTTTGTAGGCCGTATATCGAATCTCATGCTCATATATTTCGTATATTAAGAGATTTTTTATAGTGTTAGTGAAATGAAACTTAATCATTTAAAAAAAATGATTAATAATCATTATTATAGTATAATCTTATAGTCATTTAAGTTTAGAAATTAAAGATAAGTTATCATTATTAAGTCACAAGTATAATCATTACACCTAGGAAGTCACATGTTAGTAAACAACACTTAATTTAATCATATATGGAGTATATCTAATTATTTCTTTTATTAAATTTTCCCTCTCAAGATGTGAAGTTATAAACTGTAGGTAATTATTACTTCCTCCGTTCCTAAAAATTCTTCCCGATTTGACTTGGCACGCTTATTAAGAATGTGGAATAAAGTGGAAATGTATGGTTGTGGTTGTGTAAGAAAAAGGTAAAATGAATGTGAGGCACACAAATTGTCCAAAATGGGAAAGTGAGAAGTATTTTTGGGAACAGCCCAAAAAGGAAAGTGGGAAGTATTTTTGGGAACGGAGGGAGTATTATTATCACTCAGAACGCTAGATATGTTGAAGGAGTGTTTGCAAAAAAAAAATCAGCTTTTAGCATAAAATCGTTGAAATGAATGTTTCCTAGTGATAGTTTCTGCTTAAATCAAGTAATTAAAAGCTAAAAACTGAAAACAGGTGAATCGATGTAAAATTGCTTTTCACTTTTCCTGTTACACAAAAACACGTATTTTATCAAACACTACTAAATTTTACTTTTTTAGAAACATTTTTTTCTCAACCACAGATTTTTACTGTTAAACACTTTCTTCAAAATTACTTTAAAATTCCGTAAAATGCTTCTTTATGGTATAAGATGATTTTTTGTTCACATACCAAAAGTCTATTTATTTGATAATTATGTGCATGGGTGGAGGTCTAAGAAGGTGGAACACTTTCCGCATCTGCTTTTGTTCGCTTCCCAGTTTCAAATGTGAATATGATCCATCTTTCCATCGCAGTCATTTAGTATTGATAATGCTTTACTTCACTTTCTTCATTTTTTTTTCGAATCTTTGCACCGCTGTCCCCAATTTCGACGGTCGCGTCACTGTCAGTGAGGTTTAGTTTTATACGCAGAATGATGATGATGATATTTTTATTATCATTTATCACCATTGTTTTAATTTCAAGGTCCCCCTTTGTGCTTTATATAGTGATGTGGATACTATCCACATGCATTCATTTATTTCTTGTATCTTCTTGTTGGTTTCTTTGGTCGCTGCTACCTTCTTGCTTTCGGACACCTGGCTTTCAATCTCCAATCTGATCAAAGATTGATTTTTTTTCTTTAATGCAGTCTTGTCACGAACCCTTCAGTTCTTTGGAAGCAGATCGAAATTGAGTATCCCATTGGTAAGTTTCTTTCTCTTTAATTTTGAGCGGCTGAGTCATCTTCTTGCCAAGACTGCGCTGTACCATAATGGCCAAACCAAGCAATATAACAATCCAAAGGCAATAATTAAATAGTTTAAGACAATGAACTAATAAGATGTTCAGTGGTTACATACATAGCTTATGGAAGTATTTAAGAGTTGCAAGCTGTGATTTTCAATGAGATGTTTTATTTTCTGTTTTGAATTTGCATGTTTACTCACCCAGCTTTGTGTGTATGATGGGGGTGGGGGTGATGTGAAGCTAAACTATTGCATTTATTTACACTGGCAGGAGGAAATGAAGTGTTTCATGCCCTGCATTGCTGAAATTAAGGAAGAATCAAGGACAGTGAAGTCAAATTTGGCTATCCCTTCACCTTCTGCCTTTCTTGATGAGCATGATCTTGCATCTACTTCTCTGAATGCCTCAGACACCACCACAAGTACAGAATCTTTCAGGAGCAGGACAACCCAGTTTCCTAATTCATCCAAACGCTCCTCAGACCTCAGGCAGTTTACATTCTCAGAACTGAAAGAAGCAACAAAAAAGTTTAGTAGAGCAACCATGATTGGGGAGGGTGGGTTTGGATCTGTCTACAAGGGAACAATTAGGAGTTCTGAAGATCCATCTAGACAAGTTGACGTGGCCATAAAACAACTTAATAGCACTGGAAACCAGGTAAGACACTTTTCTCTTGTGATATCCCCCCTTTTTATTCTTGTTATTTTTCCATTTAATTTTCTATGTGCAAAAAAAAGGGACATAAAGAATGGGTGACAGAAGTTAATGTTCTTGGAGTGGTTGAACACGAGAACCTTGTCAAATTAATTGGCTACTGTGCGGAAGATGGTGAACGAGGAATCCAGCGCCTTCTGGTGTATGAATATATGCCTAACAGCAGTGTGGACAATCATCTATCAGCTAGGTCAGAAACAACTCTTTCATGGGCCACGAGGTTAAGGATAGCTCGAGATGCTGCTCGTGGCTTAGCGTATTTACACGAGGGCATGGAATTTCAGGTGATTTTATGGTCCGTTTGGAACAATGAAAATGCTAGGGAAAGAAAATTGTCTAGAAAATATAAGAGAAATTTGGAAGGAAAGAGAATTGTTGAAAAACAATGGTTCAAATTCAATAAAATTTGGTTTAATGTTTTTTGAATTCGTTTATTTATTTATTTATTTATTTATTTATTTATTTATTTATTTATTTATTTATTTATTTATTTATTTATTTATTTATTTATTTATTTGTATTACATAAATACTTGGCAAATTTCAACATGTGCAAATTTTCAAAAATATTGATCATATTTCACTTTTCTTTGTGTTTCTTAAGTAGATCCAAACATAGGGAAATGACATTTCTAAGCTTTTTTTATTTGGCTCTAGCTTTTCTTAGATCAAACAATATCATTAATGTTTTACACTTTCAATGCTTCAAAACTTCGATGCTTAAGGATCTGCTCTCTTCGTCTGATTTTTCTAGTCCAATCTAGCATTGTCTATTATAGTATAATCTTCTATGGACTTTTTTGTGTGTAATATATTATGTGTTTCAAAATCAAGTATGGTCTGGTACTGGAAACGGATGAGGGGAAAAGTCCTAAATATGGATTCATCTTTAGAGTTCAGAGGCTTCAAATTTTCAAACATCCTTCTTTCCAGATTAGTAATGCACATGAAAATATGAAATGTCCTCTCTGTTTGTAAAATGCAGATAATCTTCAGAGATTTCAAATCAGCAAACATTCTCCTAGACGAGCAATGGAACGCAAAACTATCGGACTTTGGGTTAGCTAGGCTGGGCCCTTCAGAAGGACTTTCACATGTCTCAACCGCAGTATGTTAGTTTTGAACATAGAACATGGAAGTAGTAACATCTGTATATTCCATCTTCGCTGCCCTGAATCTAAATGTTGACAAGCAATTGGATATTTGTTTTCTTTAATTAGCAGTAGCAAAACCACACTAAGGATTGACTTCAATTGATCAGGGTCCCTAAAACATTATGAACACATAGGTCTGCAATATTTCGATTTGGGACTCTTAACTTGAGGACTAAACATCGTGCCTTCCAACACCCTCATTGTGTCATGGTGTGGGAAGGTACGCACTTATCCACATAACATTCAACACCATATTTGAGAACATGGCGAGTTTAGTTAAATTGTCGAGACTTACATGGATACACGGATTTCATTGGTATTCTTTTCAATCAAAATTTCGGGCACAAAAGAGTCAACAATATATGTTCATGATCCATTGAGTTATTAGTGTGTGTAATGTAATACACTAATACATTTACTTTTGTTCAGGTAGTTGGAACATTGGGATATGCTGCTCCTGAATATATCCAAACGGGTCATCTTTCTTCAAAGAATGACGTGTGGAGCTACGGGATGTTCCTCTATGAGCTAATAACAGGCAGGCGACCACTGGATCGGAGTCGCCCTAAGCGTGAGCAGAAGCTCTTGGAATGGGTAAAGCAATACATATCAGACCCTAAGAAGTTTCAAACGATAATAGATCCCAGGCTTAAAGGGGAGGAGGATGTCCTAGGTTCTGCTCAGAAACTCTCTCATGTTGCCAACCGCTGTTTGGAAAAACGCCCAAAGTTACGCCCAACCATGACCGAAGTCCTTGAAATGGTTACCCCTATTGCAGAAGCACCGATAGGGACGGGCAATTCTAAGCCGCCTATTGTAGTAGCAGAAGAAGAAGACACTTGTAGAAATGGTAAAAGGACAATCAAACCCAATAAAGTATTGGGTGGATGGTTTGTCAGAATAGCGTCACTAAAACGTCCAAAGACAGTCATCTGAGCCCTTTGGTGGAGGCCAATTTGGGGTTGGAGTTGTGCTGAATGAATCAATGAATGGTGGTAGTGTCCGAGCGGTAACGGTTTTGCTTCCATCCTTCCGCTGTTTACTACAACAATATGTTTATATATATGCATATATATTATTCCTGGAGAGAACTAGAGAAGCATCAGCTGGTGATCTAGATCATGTACTATACTCATGTTCTTAACTTCTTATTCTATCCAAATCTGGCAATGCTATGTGAAAAATCTTACTGGACAGTCATAGGAATATATCTAACCTTAGACTATGCTTCATTTCTTGGTGGTCTACCTCTTCCAAGAAGAGAATGACTGGTCAGAATGAGATGGTATATTTGGAAAGCTTACTGTGATACTCTCATACTCCACGTCCCACAGTGATATCATGGTGCCTGAGTGTTTTCCAACAAAAGCTTGCCAGCAAACGTAGTGTGCTGAAACAACTCAATTTATTCCCAAAAAGCTTCCTCTTGCCTGTACCTGACTGCAGATGCTATGATATGTGAAAAGCTACTACTGGCAGTCTGGCAGATATAAGATTAATGTAGCTGTCTTTTATAAAGATCACACAACAATGGGGGATCAATAATCAGAGATTACACTGGTCGTTTTAAGAAAGCTAAATGTTACTCTTTCAAAGCAGACTCAAAACTAATGGCCGAAGAGAACCTATAATTGGGCTTGAATTCAGTCTTTTGCTTTCAAGTACACATGGGGAGAACAGACCATTTGAATACCTGACTTATTTTAGAAAAAAAACTGTTTGTGCATGTCCATTTGTATTTTGTATACGCTTTCGGTGAACATACAATTTTTCTGTCCATGAATATCCTTTCATAGGCAAAATATGTTTTTTCTATAACAGACTATTTACGGATAAAAATTAGTGTGTTCACCGACGTGTATATGGACGTGTACAAATGCACGTGTACAAGAAGTGGGACCGCTTATTTTAGGATGCTTGTTTTAATGCAACCACTTACATTTTGGCATTTGTGGATCGTATAAAACAAAAACATAATAAGAAGAGAGGCATTCCTCTTTAAAATCATGCAGTTGTGCTTTAAAACTTAGACCATGTATCCCCATTTTAAGCTTATCGGTCTCATTAGTCAATTTTTTCATTAAACATGTAGTTTTTGATTTCTCGAGTTGAATTCTATGATAAACAAAATAAATAAGGTTGAAGTTACTTTTCTTGCTGAATTGAGAGAATTTTCTGACTGAATTGAGAGAGTTTATTGTGGAACACCATTTTAACTATTCATATATTTTAACAGATTTAGCTGATTCTGCCAATTTCAATATAATCAAAAATGCCCTTAGTTGAAAAATAGGAAAGCATGACCATATATATATATGTGCGCGCGCGTGTGTGTATTATTTATGCTTCCTATATTTTGGCTTTATGTTATGAGACCATATAGTGGCCTTGTTTGATAAATGGTTTCTCAGCCATTTTTTATTGGGTTGTTTTACGGCAGGGCAAAAGTGGTTTGGTTTAACTGAATCGAATCATACCGAAAATTGGTGGTTTGATTTGGTTTGATTTGGGTTTACTTAAGTAAACCGTTTGGTAACAATTTGCTCAAACTGAATGGTTTGGTTTGGTTTAAAACTGAAAAATCGTAAACCGAACCGAACACCGAATAACTCGTAACACACACACATACACATTTTGTATTTATCTTCACTCTTCATTTTTAAGATATAAATAATTTAAACATGAAAAATACAAATTTAGCATATATCATTTTAACTTTTACACATATCATACATATTCCAGGGTCTAGTCCCCCTGAAATGTTTTCTTTAGTTATTCTATCATGTATTTCTAAAAGGGTATGCTCTTTTTGGAGAGCTTTGGCCTAGTCCTCCTTTCCACAATGTACTTCTGCTTTCCACAATCGTTCATCGGCGTTTGCCCCACTGATTTTGGTGATTTGCCTTCCAAGTTAAAAAAAAAACAAAAAAAAAAGACATACTTGTATTTGTTATGTTTTGTACTCTACCAGTATGAAAAGATGTTTGGAGATAACAATAGCGGATTATATTTATAACTTTTACATGATTCAGAATAAAATTGTGAATATTACAACATTTGTACCACCGACTCCTTTAGTTTTCTTTGAATGTTTTATGTGATATTATAAATGGTAATCAATTATAAATCTATTTTGTGAGAAGTGATTCTTTTTCTAGTGATCAAAAAGATGTTTGAAATTTTAATTTATAATATTTTATTATTTCTTTTTCTATCTTTTATTTCCTTTTACATTTTATTTAAATAGTAAATATAAGAAGATGAGATGGACTACTACTTTCATTTTATAATTCTAAAATATAGAACTTGATCAAATAAAATATTAAACATAAGAAAAATACAAATTTTTGAACCTACTAACCGCTAACAATTAAAATCAAAGTGAAAAGTATTATTTTAACCTACCAAAGTGAAACGTATTATTTTAACCAACTAACCGCTAACAAGTAATAATTGATTATTAAATACTACCAGTAAATCATATATTTGTTTTTTCTGCTTTACCAAGTACTTAATTGTGTGTGGTGAATTATGTAATAATCAAAAGATATGTGATTGTCGTTACTTTTCAGGATGAAATTGTTTATGAGAACTATTTCAGTTATTTTCATATATTTTTCTTTATTTTACAAATAATATTTTTTTAAAAAAATCATGATTTATTCACTATAGTCATAATTTCACGTATTTCACTTATATATATAAGCGCTCTTCTTTTGATTTTAATGGAATCTTTATATTGTACTCCATCCTTCTCTATTTTAAGGTATTCTCTTTTATTTGAGTAGAAACTTGACTTATGATTGAAGGCATTCCTTTTTTGTGAAGCTAAACCAAGTTTTTGGAGTATTCCTTTCTTTTCTTTCCTTCTTCTTATCTGAAACTTAAATCATCATTTTTTACGTTTTAATTTATTCTATAAGTGCATCAAAAAATCTCTAAAATTTACAAAATGCCTTTTAAATAATAGAGTACCAAACATGAGTAGTTCTGATTTAATAGTATATGTTCTAATTAAATGACAATATTTGGGATAAGTTTCAACAATGTAAACCTCATTTTGGGAGTGTTATAGTGATACCATCAAACCACAAGGGAATTGACTAAAAGTATAGTTTTTAAAAACCAGAAGTGCATTATTTTAAAAGGTACATGATTTTATTATAAAAATAAAGTACTACTTTCCTTGAATTATGTGTTGTGTGTCCTTTCCTTTGCTCCTAATGTCGAATTCAAATGTTATATTTCTCTCGTTCTCGTTTCATTTTAATTCATCCAAAAAATGTAAGGCACAAAACACCTGAATTATATTGTAATATCAGAAAATTTCAAAAATGTAGTATGAATGATTAAATAGCCTTTTTCAACATTCAAAATACCAATTGCATAAGATTAAAAATGTGTGTAATTTTCTAAAGAGCACTTCTTCAAAATATCTCCTGTTTTTGAGCCACTATGTAATAATACATGTATGTACACACACACACACATTCTATGTAGTTGTAACTAGCATGAATTTATTTAGTAGTTATATGACATATTTTGTATTGTGAAAATCTACGTTTCTATAAGTTAAATTTACACGTTTAATTTCAATATAATGATTATATAGTTCATAACTTCATATACTTTTTCCATTTTAAATAAATTTAGGTAATCGAGTTAATTTTATCAACTTCCATGTTAAGTGAGATGAGAAAGATAAAGAAGACAAACGAAATTTACAAATTTTTCTTTTCAAACCTTCTGCCAATTTGCCCCTTATACTTTTAGTATCAATGCTCTAAATACGAAATTGATTATTATCAATTACTCTTAAATAAACTATTTGCAGATCTAAATATGAGTGTTAGTATAAAAAACTCACACACACATGTAAGCCTATGTTACAAGATCGAAATTGGTTCGCGTGGGTCGATTTGCAACCCGGAGACCCGTTCAAAATTTGAGCAGGTTGTGTGTTGATCGAAATACGTCCAAAACCGCCAACATGGTACCACTCGATACAAAAGTCGATCTGAGCAAGACCCGTTGACCCAGATGTATGTGTCTCAATAAAAGCATTGCAATTGCAGAGTTTCAATTCTAGGTGGTCTTCTCACAGAAACACAACCAGCATAGAAGTTGTTTTGTTTGCCTGATATATAGATTTTTTGTCCGGATTTTTTAAGAACAGACCTGATCTGATCTAAAGATTTCTAATCTGGTTTGATCTGAATGTTTCTGATCTAACTGTCTATGTTCATATCTGAATCTTTCTTATTTGATATGGTATGAATATTTATAATCTGATCTTATCTAAATTTTTTTTGATTTGATATGATCTGATTTGAATTTTTTTGACTTGATCTGAATAAATTATGAATAAACAATAAACAATAAGAATAAGACGAACAGAATAGCCCCTTAACTATTTATTAATAATAAGAAAATAAATTTAGATATAATAACAATAATAATAATTTATACTATGATACCAATCAAGTATTTATGAAGTATTCCATTTTTTGTGTGTGAAAAAATGGACATGTTTATATTTAAGCACATTTTGTATATAAGCAGTAATTCAATTCGTATATATTGTCTATCAAATTTAAACACATTTTGAGTTATATTGGACATGTTTATATTTTATTACTATTTACATTTTCTGTGACTAATATGCATTATGAATAATAAAATTTTTGTATTTCGGTTTTAGTTTGACATATAATTAGACACACACATATATATTCATATATATATATATATATATATATATATATATATATATATATATATATATATATATATATATATATATATATATATATATATAACTCCATATTGATTCACCACCCTTACGAGCTTTTATTGTCCCTTCAACCAGTCATTTGATGAGATTGACTTACGATGTTGTTTTAACAACGGGCACGTAAATGTGAGGAGTGATGTGTAGTTGATGAATTTGAGTTTAAAACTTCTTTATTTTAATTCTTGTCTTAGACTAGTAGGAATTGAAATTTCAGGATAGACAAATATTCTTGCTTTTCAAACAAACTTTTACTTGTTTTCTCTCCCTCAATCTAGCTTAGATGCAAAATGAGGCTTTGAAGAAAATGCCGCCTGGTTCCATTTTACTTCATGGTCGATCAAGAATTCATTCATATTCTGTACTATACAAATTATGATGCATACAAGACACTTTTTAAGAAATATATATACACACATAGAGCTTAATTGGTTAGTATAATGTTGAAATCCCGGTTCCTTGGGTTTCTAGCCAGCTGCCAAAGCCATCTTGCATTATTGTACGTACACAAAACATCCTTTCATCTTATTGAATGAAACATTTGTTTTATAAGTGTATCTCAACCATTAGATTTACACTATTGTACTAAAAATAACTTCATATTGCAGTAAGATTTAAATTTTGTAAAGTTGCACTAAAATTGTTTCATGTTGCACTAATATTTGATGATGATGCACCAATACAGCTTCATGTTGCACTAGACAAATTTAATACAAATTTTAAGAAGTATTTACAAAATATAACCATGTTAGGTTGAATTTTTCAGTGCAACGTGAAATATTTTTTTATTGCAATATAGTCAAATCCAACGGCTAAGATTAATTCTCATTTCTCACCTAAAAACTTCTTCTTATTGGAATCTCACCCGTGGATTTAGAATAGTAATGCTTTAGTTCCTCATTCCCATATGCATTTCTATTAATTTTAATGATTTGTACAGTATGAATGAGAGGTCATGCTTGAGATTTGAGGACAGGTGACATATTCATCATTGTAAATATAATACTTCAATTTGCTATGTGTTTAGTTTATTAGAGTGTTGGTTATGTTTCCATTCCTTGTTAATCTCATACGAAATTTGAAGTTTTTAATTTTATTCGATTGTGGAATAACAGGAATTGAGGAACAAATTCATGCAAATATCACCTACTTTAAGCATATTGAAGTTAATACAAGCACTTATCTGGTATGTGTAGAATGAAATTTAAGGAGAATTTGGAATACATATTAACATTCTCAATTAGATGTTTCAAGTGGTTTACCATTTCAGCTTAAATGCATATTTAAAAACACATTTATATTACTCTTGGGTTTAGAATTAGAAAGATGTTAGTGGCATGAAACATCCATAACCATCATGGGGGATAATGCTACTTCTCAAAGCATTGTGCACTATTTAATTACAATATATAGTATAATTGGTAACTCGTGCTCGCTCTTATAACTTGTAACTATTTGCACAAATAATGGACTTTGTACTTTGCTAAGTTACAATATATAGTATAATTGGTAACTCGTGCTTGCTCTAATAACTTGTAACTACTTGCTACATACAATATTCAATAACATCATTACTAAACAGAAGTATGAAATTTAATTAGAAAATTAATGAGGAGACTCCAATTTCCATGGCTATTCTATAGAGTACTATGGATGCTTTTATTATTGGCCACTCAAGTTATTAAGCAATAAAAAGCTTAATACTTTATATCCATCTTTGCTTTCCTTCTCTGATTGTGGTTTTTGATAATCAGCTGCTAATGCATATCGCATTACTTCAAATTGTGAATTATAGGTTCTTGAAAACCTGCACTAAGATAATATTGAAGGTTAATCTACTTCCAGGAGAACAAGGTTGTGTTATCGACCCAATTTAGCAATTTTAAACTTCTAGTAGCCGAGTTTTTGTTTTATTAGTGCATTGATGATGTTTGTCAGATCTTTCAATTAGTAAAGACCTCGAACTTTCATGTATGAACAATCAGATACACATGTTTGTTCCTCCATTGGTGTACATGATCACATTGTGAAATTCCTTACCTTAGTTTTAGTATTATTATGTATGACTATCTAGTATGTGCATGTCTTAAACATCTTTTATTGATGCTAAGTGTTGTAAAATTTTGCAGGCCAGACTGATATTCTAGATGGAGAAGTTTGCAAGCCATTGAACCAAATGGTTATTAAAAAAGTACTACCTCCATCCCAAAAAATACTTCCTGGTTTGACTTGGCACGCTTATTAAGAAAGTGGAATAAAGTGGAAATGTATGGTTGTAGTTGTGTAAGAAAAAGGTAAAATGAATGTGAGCCACACAAATTGGCCAAAAATGGAAAGTAAGAAGAATTTTTTGGAACGGCCCAAAAAGGAAAGTAGGAAGTATTTTTTGGGACGGAGGGAGTATGTTTGTTTTCATTTTCCATATCTAATGACTAACATTAACTTACATGCAACTCAATGGATAGCTTGAGTGCATCAATTTTTGTTTTTGTTTTAGTAAGCTATATAATTTGTAACTCTCACTTGCATTTATGTGGACTTGACAGTTCTCTTTTCCATATTTTGATGAGACCGTAACTTAACATTTTGAAGAAATATATTCACACAACGGCACTTACAGACAATAATGCAAATCCATTTTAGCAATACATATTGAACAACCCAATACTGCCTCCATCTCAAATTGGTTTACTAGCTACTTAGTTAGGATTAATGAGGTTTCATAAAGTAATCATTCTAATTATATTTAAATTGGTATTTAAGATTGCATATTGGGAAACTAGCCCAAATGCTCTATCGAACCACAAAAATGGAATTTGAATATGATAGATTTGATACGCTAAATTACAAAAGGAATGTGAATTATATTGGCCATATGAACAGTAAAATGGACAATCTGAGAAAGCGGTCCAGCCCAGCTGGTCGCCGACTCACTCTCCCTTACGAGAGGTCTCGGGTTCGAAACTCAATGGAGTGAGTTTCAGCCTAGATTACTCCAGGCTCCCCCAGCCCCCCTCCCCCAGACGCCCCCTGGAGTAAAAAAAAGGACAATCTTTCGAGGATTGAGGGAGTATAATGTTACTCGGAATTTGATTTACGCCTCTACTTTTTTATTAAGGCTGATGGAAAGATAATTGATCCTCAAATGCAACATCACATATACTCCATACATTATATTTATGAGCATTCCTTCTTAATAATGAGACTGAAACTTTCTTGTTCCTTTTCAATTTGGACGTGACATTCTCAATGAATATGAGTTTATTATTGTTTTCGTCCAGCACATCCTGAGAATAAATGGAGATATACCTTTGACAGATGAAACAACTTCTGATCATGAAAGGCTACAAAAAAGGTAATGGATGGCACTCCAAATACTTGATATATTACTTAAAATTTAAGTCTATATTTTCATCAATTTGAAAAATCCATTGCATCTGAAAAAGGTAGTAGTTGTTTAACACCACGGCCCTGCAGGACCTGAGGTAGTTACTCCATACCTCTAGTACTGTCATCACAAATCGCCACTAGCCCTTTCCACGCACTTTGTCCTCACTCGAGCACGCCTTGAGAAACTTCCAAGAGGGTCGCCCATCCCAAGACTACTCTCGTGCAAGCACACTTAACTTTGGAGTTCTTAGCTGATGAGCTTCCTTAAAAGGAGATGCACCTTGTTGGTATGAGTAGTACTATTAATCCATTTAAATTAAATCTCAAGTGTTACAATCACCCTCACTTAGGAACGCAACGTTCTCGTTGCGCCCATAAACCAATCTCAATCAAATCCCAGAAATCTCCCCTGATGCGACAATACACTGTCGTAGGGTTGCTCTGATACCACATGTAACACCCCGGCCCCACAGGACCTGAGGTAGTTACTCCAGACCTCTAGTATTGTCCTCACAAACCGCCACTAGCCTTTTCCACGCACTTTGTCTTCACTCGTGCGCGCCCTGAGAAACTTCCCAGGGGGGTCACCCATCTCAAGACTACTCTCGTGCAAGCACGCTTAACTTTGGAGTTCTTAGCTGATGAGCTCCCTTTAAAGGAGATGCACATTGTTGGTATGAGTAGTATTATTAATCCGTTTAAATTAAATCTCAAGTGTTACAAGTTGACCATCTTAGAAATCATGATATTGCATAAAATTGTATGACACGATAGATTTTGAACCTGTTATAACTTGTAAGAGATCTTTCAAAGTATTGGAAATATAGCTACTTTAAGATAATATATACTCTTTCAAGGATTTGACTAGCCAACTAAATTCATTTTAGTATAAATATAATGTATTAGAAAATAGCTTTGTCATTTTAAAACTCACATTTTATATAAATATAATGTTATTTTGTAATTTTAATTTTTAAATGAAATGGGTGTCAGACCCTACATCATAGATGTACAAAAACCAACCTAGATGTGACTAGCCTAAATGCCTAAAGGAGTATTGATCAAAGTTATTTTACCTTTTACTGGATATTTTCGTTTTTGAGTAATCAAACATTTGATGTCATCTTTTTAACTAGCAGAAAACCTCTACCTGCATTTTACTACATGTTTGAGCTCCATATTGTGTGAAGTGAATAGTGGCATTTATGGTTTCAGATTACTAGAGAATGGTTTCGTTGAGCACCACGTTAAAGGGGATGGAAACTGTCAGGTTATTTACATTTTTCCTCCTTGTGGCATTTTGTAATAAATTAAAATTGTATTGATCTTATTTATGAGTGATGGCCAATAAGTGTATGCTTGTGGCACATACGAGAAATTAGTATTCAGAAATTCCTAACGCAACCCCATCAGCCTACCTGGTGCTACGTTTAGTCCATCATGCGGCCCGTGATATATCAATTCACGTGATATATCAATTCAGTTTTTACATATGGAAAATTGTGTCAAGGTAAAAACAAAAGTAAAAGAATTCTAACCACACCATTTTCACTTTTAAAAAACCACAGTCATATTATAGAGAGAAATGTAAAAATAATAGATGAATTAACTTCTATATGCCCCTCATCCATAGGGTGGACATAGACGAATTTTGGTCCCAAGAAAAGACTAGTAGGAACCTGAACCTTAATTTAAAATAACAAGAATCTTTTTATATGATCTTTTCAAGTAGAATGCCTATATCTTCTTCTTTTTTTAGTTTTGTGCTTCATCGGATAAGAAGATTATTATAATGCTAATATAGTAAAATCCTTTCAAGTAGAACATATTGTTTTTCTTTCAGTTTCGTGCTTTATCAGATGAAATCTATGGTACACCTGAATGGCACAATTGTGTCAGGGAGCATGTTGCTAATCAGGTGAACATTGATGTTTGTTGATTTTAAATTTTTCTTCAATTATATTTTGATTGCTATAAGTTCCTTCGTGAATTTTCACTCCAAATTATTTAACATTTTCACTTATAATTGGGTTTCCACCAGCTTAGAAGTCACCCAGAGATGTACAAGGGACATGTTCCCATGGTCTATGATGAATATTTAAAGAAGATGTCAAAGTAAAGTTCAAGCTCATAATCCACACAACTTTGTTACTTTCTATTTCATTGGTTAGTATTTAGAATGCCTTTTGTCATTTGTACGTGCTTTACGCTTACCTTGATATTAATTTTCCCAGGAGCGGGGCATGGGGTGATCATGTTACATTGCAGGCCGCTGCAGACCTTGTAATCAATACTAACACATAGACTTCATTTTTTCTATTCCCCTTTCATTTTCAATTTGTTGTTTTTCCTATACCAATATTTTATACTATATTTTTTGCAGATCGTACTTCCAAAAATTATATACTAACTCCCCACTGTGTAATTTTTTGTTAAGTGGTGATCTGATATACTTTCGTAATTTTGATAGTTTGGTGTCAAAGTTCTTGTCATAACATCTTTCAAGGACAGTTGTTACCTTGAGATTCTTCCAAACGTAAAGAAATCAGAAAAAGGTTATTCCCATCCTGAACCTTTTATTTAGGTCTAAAATAAAACTAGACAAATTAAATATCATACCACCCGGTTCATTCTTTTGAACATGTTTTATGCTCATCTGTCCTTGAATAGATGCATTACAAGCTTTGGGTTTCATTCTATTATACTTGAAAACCAGACTAAAAAGTTGACATTATTCTATGTCTTTCAATAATACAAATTCTAATTGTATATTTTGTTTCCTTGTGGGTGTTTGTATACAGTCATTAATCTAAGTTTTTGGGCTGAGGTGCATTACAACTCCGTACATCCCAAAGGTATAGTGTTATATTGTTATCAACCACATAGTTAATTCCATGACTTTTTTGTTTTCTAACGCCTCAATTTTTGTCTCAAATATTTTCCATATGTAGATTCTCCTTGTGACTTTTGTGAAAGAGAAGTGGAAGTACCTATACTTTGATGCAATAGGTCATAGTTGTACGGAACACATACCTATATAATGTGACCACCTTGTATCGATAAGAAAAACACTATTATGAGTAGAGATTTTCTCAATGACATTGTACTGTAAGAAAAATAACACTATCTACAATTGTTGTTGAAAAACATCAACTTAAAGTGTTTTAAAGTGACCTGATGTGGCATGGTTTAATCTTTGACCTCTAGAGTTGAGGACTTGAGGGCCCGCTCTACTAAAGAGAAACCTTGTCATATAAAAAATTTATAGTCACTCATATTGTTGTTGCCCAAGTAAAAATAGTTTTATTTTCATAGAATTTTTGAATATGATTTCTCATATCCTACAAGTATTTCATTTAACGCTTTCAATAATACTATGCACATATTAATTTCATATTTGATCTTTAAAAATAGAGATGGTGCTATATGGGCAAAAATCCCATGTCTGTGAAAAGTGAAAGTATTAAATTGCAAACAAAGTACTACCTCTGTCCCATTGAAAGGTTCTCATGTCAAAATGACACAATTTTTTAGACCATAATTAAATAAGTTAGTTTGAGAATACTTTGAGAAATAATTTTAATAGATATATAATATAATGGGGTTATGTTTTTTAAAGAGAGTTAGTGTTGAGAACTGTGATTTATATACTATCTCCGTCCCGTTCAAAGGTTCTTATGTCAAAACGGCATGGTTATTTAGATAATTGTGATATCATAAATGTATTGTTTTTAATATTTAATGATTAAATTATCATTTAAGATTGTAATTTGTTTCCTAAAATAGAAATGAGAACCTTTGTATGGGACGTTCAAAAAAGGAAAGTGAGGATCTTTCTACGGGACAGATGAAGTATGTATTATTTTTAATATTTAATGATTATTTTGTCATTTAAGATTGTTAATTGTTTTCTAAAATAGAAATGAGAACCTTTATATGACATGTCCAAAAAGGGAAAGTGCGAACCTTTCTATGGAACGGGGGAACCTTTCTATGGAATGTGGATGCTGATAAAAGGAGTTAAGCTTGTGTTTTTAGAAACCCTAGAGAGAGAGTGACAGCGGTTTTTGTATGGTTGCGACGTCTTCCGTTTGGGCGGCTCCGGCCGTTGGGGCTGGGGCGGCTTGTCGTTCTTTTGCAGAAGTTCTTGCGGCGAATAAAGATTTTTCGTTGAAAGAACCATTCCGACACAGGGGGCATGCCAGCGGTCAAGTTTACGGAAGATGAGGTTTCCGAATTGGCGGCTCAGCACAAGTATGCCCTTGTTGGCTCTTTTGTTAGGGGCAGACCACTTATGGTTATGGTTAGATAGGAATTCGAAAAAATTGGATTTAATGGACCTCTCTCTGGGACTACTGGATTAGCGGCACATTTTGATTAAGTTCGGCATGGAGGAAGACTTCCAGAGGTGTTGGTTGAGGCAAACATGAATTATTCGAGGTTTTAGGATGAGGGTCACGAGGTGGACTCCAAATTTCCGGCCTGACGTAGAATCTCCTATAGTGCCGGTTTGGATTACTTTGAGTTTTTGCCATTTTTGGTCCCCTAACTATTATGTCAATGACACTTTTGGTACTCGACTTCTAATTTTACCATTTTTAGTCCTCGATTATCATGCTAGAGACATTTTTAGTCCATGACTTCAAGGTTTCTGACCGGGCTAAACTTGTAAGTGTACAAGTGCCGATATAGTAATAAATTCCGGTAAAATACCGGGTCGAATCTACAAGGAAACGTTGTTTAATTCAAGTCCGAGAGTAGATAACATTAAATAGATAAATGAGTAAAGTGCAGGGATTTTGATTTGAGTTTTATATTTTTGGTTTTTCACTTTTTGTTCAAGAAGATAATTGTTAGCTAATTTTGAGTTTAAATGAATAATAACAACAACTAAGGCTTCGGGAATCACTTAAATGCTTTAATAGGTTGAATATTAGTTCTTTGCCAATAATTATGAATACGATGTCGCTAATACATTCTCAACTCCGATTAAGGCAGCGAGAGCGTGGCTTTCGTTACGTGTAAGTCCCGTTACAGCTTACATTCATCTACCGAAAACCCCGTTGAATATCAAGACATCCACCCGTATCATATAAGACTGGATATATTTCTATTCTCGGTACTATATATGTTTATCATTTAGTGTTCATAGTTTAGACTTCAACGTTAATTTCAAGTATAAACTAAATTTAACATACTTCTATGTTGTACACCATAGTCATAAACAATCAATATATAAAGGATAAATCACAATTTATTGGTTGAGAACTTTTATCAAACACATAATGGGCATAGAAGTTCATCCATAGCCTTAGCTAAAAATTTAGCCTCTAATGCTCATATATTAATCACAACACAATAATAAATGTAATGGAACATGAAATTACAAAGGAAATAATACCTAAACACCAATGATTTCGGAGGATGAACTTCCCTCCTCAAGAACTTGAAGAAAATACCAAGAACAAAAATATAAAAGCTAAGAATTAATCTATGGAATGGAATGTCTTTGCTTGATGAATTGAGGGCTTTATATAGGCTAAAGAATGGCATCTTTTAGTCTATTCGAGCCCAACAATCAAGTATGGAGTGATATTTGATCAAGAATTGAGGAAGATGACGTTTTCCCATCCAAAATCCTTTTGCACGTTACTGTGTTTTAGCACAATCCGACTTAACCGGCGCCGGTTATAAGGTAACCCGACGCCGGTTTACTTCGTTTTGCAGCTATAATCCGGAATTTTGACATAACCGGCGCCAGTTATAAGGGTAACCCGGCGCCGGTTAAGCTACTGGTTAGCCTACTCCTGCTGCGAAAACACATAGCCGACGCCGGTTATAAGGTAACCCGGCGCCGGTTTACACCTTTTGTGCTATATTCCGCTTTTCGCTTTGTTTGACATTCGTAGTTGACCCCGAAGTGCCAGTTCTTGGTCCCTATTTCTCGTTTACTCCGGTTTGTTTATCTTTGACGCCTTTGTGCGATTTTGCTCAAATTGGGATTTTTACCTGTTTTATCTTTTAATAATTGTACATATAATCCTAATTACCTATATAAAATATAGGCAATTATCATGCTTATCAAACTCCCCCACACTTGAGTCTTGCTAGTCCTCGAGCAATGTTGTCATCTTTTGATGTCTTGGTTAGTTCAACAAATATATATGTACAAGAATATTTTTAGTATCAAGAGAGATAAAAACGTATATAGACTCTTTTATCGTTCTCGGTCCAAAACCCTTTTTCTATTACACACACAAAAATATCATTAGATTTAGAAAAATTACTTATACTCTTGAATTGATGAGTGGGGGTTGTGACTGGGGTTGTTTTTTTGGATGTGTAGAACAGTTTTCTTTTGAGAATTTTGACTTTTCAGTATAGAAATGGATCAATTGGAATTCTTGAAAGAGACCATGAGCTATTTCTTTTTCTTTTTTTTAACTCATTTGGAATGGTTCTCAACAAGTTTTTTACTGAAAGTCATTTTGATAGTCCCAAATTATTTGATGAGATATGGGGGTGGCTTGTACTCCAAAATGGTTCTCGAATATTTGAGATGAATTTTTGACCATTTTTGGAAATGAAAAAGGATGATGTTTCCTAGTCACAAGGTTTTTTTTGGGAATGATTTTCAAGAGTAAAAAGTAGTGTAATAAATATTAAAAAAATGATAGTTTTGTGAGTAATAACAAAAAACTTTCTCAACCAAATACCCATTAAAAAGAGAGAGATAATTATTTTTACCTTCCTAAAAACAAAAATATTTTGCACAAAAAATTGTTTAACCACCCTGAGATGCACCCCCCACACTTAAGATACATTGTCCCAATGTATTATGCATGATAAACAAACACTTCCAACAACGTCCACGATTAAGTGTGTTTAGAGAAGAGTATTGTTATGAAATAACAACAAAGGGGTACTTAATGATGTGAATCGGGAGGGGGGTACCCATATTGGTTGTAGTAGTGTTGGGTGAAGTCCCCAAACCTTTGGTCATACCCCTGCAATTGCTCCTCCATCCGTGCTTGGTGAGTCTCAAAAGAGTCAAAACGGGTGTAGAGGTCTTCTTGTCGGGTATACATGTGATGTTGTCGTGCCTCATATGTGTCCATCCGCGTATGAATGTGATCCATAGATTGGATCAAATATGCCATCGCGGAGTCGGTAGTCTGTGGGGGCACTTGTGGGACGGGCACAGCTTCACCCTCCTGGACATCTTCCATAGCCTCGTCTTCGTGAGCTTCTTCTACCTCCTCGTTATCTCTGTCCAAACCTATTCCTTCGGGAAAATACCACTTCCCGGAGTTGGACAATTTGTGTTTGAGGGCTCTCATGGTGTCATTGTTTAGAACATTAGAATCGGAAGTATAAACAACTTCCTCGCCATCAAAATCAACCCCAAAATGCCTGAAAATCTTGGTCAATAAAAGAGGATGACAAAAAAATCACTTTTTTTGGAGAGAACCACAGTTTTCATGTTTTTGAGGATGAGACGAGGTAGTGGTATCCCTGCAGTTTCTCCTAGCCCGACTAACATCTTGTGGAGAAGGTATAGATCTATTTTCCGGACTACGTCGCGATCGCTAGCATGGAGGACAATGTTGAACCCAATGAGGTAGATGATGAGGCGTGCGTGGACATGCCATAAATATTTTTTTTTAGGCTCTTTTTGAGCCCAAAGAACTGCTGTGCCTCAATCTCATTGTATGTCTTGTCGCTGAGAATGCCATGTTGATTATACTCCAAGGTAGGACCATCATTGCTAACTCCAAGGATGCTAGAAAGGAGGTCCGGATCAACCTTGATGCGTCTTCCTTTGACCGTTGTTTGGATCTCCGCATATCCAGTGGTTTTGTCGGTGATATTGGCATAAAATTCCTGAACCAACCGGGGGTAGTATGCACCCGTCAAAGTTAACATCATCGCCCATCCAAGTTGTGCGAATGCCGCGGTGAGTGAGAACACATTGTCAACCTCAGGATGAACTGTTTTCTCCTCCACAATACCCCATTTTTTTCTTGCCTCGTACCACTCCTCGTTTTCACGAGAAGTGAAACGAGTGTTGGAGTATGAGGAGGATGAGGCACCATCGGTTTGCTTTCTTTTCGGAGGCATGCTACAAGGTTAGAAGAAAATACAACACATACAAAAAAAACCATCAATTCAAGGCATTTTTCTTAAAATTTTCATGAATTTCCCCAAAATTTCAAAATTAATCACAAATTAATGAAACAATTAGGTTTAGAATGTTTTATTTATCAACACAAAGTATTTCAATACCATTCTAATCATCAATTGTTGCAAGAATTTGAAGATTAATTAAGAAATTCGGACCTAG